TTTAAGACACTGCGTGGTAAACGAGCTTTAATTAGACCAGATTTGGTAAATTTATTTCCCTTGTTACTCCACAGTCTTTTGTACGCATTATCTTCCAGTGAAGAGAATGTAATAATGATAATGAATGGCCACCACGGTGAGGAAACAGATTCAGATAATCTTATTTTTGAATTCAACCTCTGAAAGTAGAAAATAAGATTAGAAGACAAATCTGTTTCTCTGGTATTGTATTTATATGCTTTATCTTTGAGTGAAGAGAATGTAGTAATGATAATAAGTGGCCACCACTATGAGGAAACAGATTCAGACAATCTTATTTTTTAATTCAATTTCTTAAAATTGCGCAATAAGATTAGAAGAATCTTCTTCCTTGCCACTGTATACCTCTTTGTCTTTTAATGAAGAGAATGTAATAATGATAATGAGGAAAAAGACTTTCTTAATCTCACTTCTTAATTTAATTGAAACCATATCAAGAATTGTACCACCAAGAAGTGATTAATTCAATTACAAACAAACCAAATAACCAATACTATGAAAGAACCTTATTATTATCATAAAAATGGCAATATTGAAATTGCAATTCATCTAAAATCCCTCAATCCTTTTGAGGATGATCATCGAATGAATCTAATCTATCTGTTAATGTCTCTAGCGCCTGCCATTAACTTAGGATTTATTTTCAGATGCGGAACGAACGCATAATCGTATTTATACTCGAAAGTTGAGATGCAACGTTTGACATATTCATAGAATTATGAAAATAATAATGAAAACCGGTGGACAGTGGCCAAGAAAATCGCGCACGTTCCAAAGTACACGTGCACGTAGGAGGATCCTTTAGTAGGAGGATCTCCAAATTGTGTAACACCAAATAGATATAATAGTATCCCAATACGACGTACAGGTACAAGTGTGGGTGAACGTGAGCATGCATTTTGTACTCGACAAGAAAAATTATAAAATCTATCCTATTATATTATTACTGTAGAAGACGCGTTTAATTTCAGCGAATCTGATGAACAATTTTTAAGATTGAACCGTAAGATCTTTGCCAAAAGTTTAAGACATGCAATAAAAAGCTGTGTCCAACATTTGAAGCAATGAACTTTTAGAAAAAATTTATAAAATTGGTCTGCCTGTTTTTCTCAGACATAAGGAATTTTTAACTCATAATTTCTAATATTTTAATACACAGTTTTGGCATTTTTATTGAACTGTACGCGACTTGCAACTTTGGTAATATGCGACATATCGATATTTCTAATGCGAATATTTCTCCAGGTGTTTGCCGTTCTAATGCGTCAAGTGGAAGCAGCACGTCGATTTTTAACCGAGCTGTTACTTTAAATATATACGTAGTAAACAATAGTCACGATCCTCTGTCACGAGGATCTGAATCATTAAATTTTATTCACAGTTCGAGTGTACAGAACTGATTCGCGAGTTCGACGTCGTGATACTTAATTGTTTGCCCCAAAAGCGTCCGAGGGAAGAAAGAAAAATAATATTACCATAATTCTGTGGAAAATCATTACAAATAATTATTTGACTTAGTTAGTTAATGCTTTTATTCTATCCGGAAAACAGAACTTGGTTTGCACTTTGAAATTACCTGATTTATCTCGTATTACTCGGTAAAATGTGCTAAAATTACAATTCTTATAATACCCAACCAGCAAATTGAGTAAATATACGTTTTGGTGAAATTGAAAGCAAGATAAATACCATAAAATCTTCGATTGGATTTTGATTAACCGCGAACGTCAAATAAGCACGTATGATGAAAAAAATAATATTTCCATTTAATAATAACCGTCGAAATGATAAACGAACCGAAAATTACGAACGATAATACAAACCGTGGAATAACCAAGGGAAATCAAAGGTCAATAACATGACCACACACGAATTATGCAAGCAACTAAAGATTTTTACTTTCTAAGCGTAAACAGTAAATATGATTGCGTTAATAATCACCAAGTTTCTACTTGATGAGCTAATTTTTTTGATAACATCGTAAAACCCCGCTTTCACTCCTTCCCGAAACAATCCAGTTTTAAGAAACTGATTTGGTTAGGTTAGGTGTTTGGAATAAACCATATAAATAATAAAAGTATGTAGGAAGATAACTTTTTGATTAAATATTAAACTGCGTAAATGGCGAGATTACTCGTCCTATAAAAAAGGGAACAGATAACTCGTATATGTGCAATGCACGTTGCAAGAAGCGACTGAAAAAATGGGTACTAATTCCGCTGCGACCTTTACGCGCACGTGTTAAAAACGAAAGACGAAATTACACATTTCCTGCGATGGAAAGTGAGATTAATGATCAGACCGCGGGTTTTATGCGTCTATAACGAAACGAAACAAAAAAAGAACGTGAAAAATTGCACATAATAAAGAAAAGTGCATAAGGTACCAAAAAGAGGAAAATCCATAGTAGTTTAAGGAACATTCTTATGAAATAATTGACACCTTACAAATACTGTATAAAAATCTGCTAATTACGATACGCAGTTCGATAATGAAAGATTTATCTATCAATAAATTAGACTAATTTAGGGATGTTAAGGTTAATCGCGAAACTTTTGCAAAAAGCGACGAGGATAGAAACGTTTTTAGACGATGGACGAGCCTCCGCGCGCGTGGCAAGACAGTAGAATGAAAGTCATTGTTCGCGGCGAAAGACGTCAACGGTAAGAATGCAAGTTATTTCTGCCAGTGAACGAATATTAATAGGAAAACTCATTATTTCGGTATCCCTAATAGCGCAGGGATAATGAGTTTTACCGAAAGATTTTCCATTACCAAACGCAAGCCCAGGTGCTCGTATCTTTTACTTAGATCACAAGCAAATCAGATTACAGCTGAACGTTCAACGATTAAGCGTCGTGTTTCCTGATTTCACTCCGAATTCCTCTCGGATTAACGGTTATTCGGCCTTATGTAAGTGCAAATCATTATTTTTTAACCCTGAACGGTGTCCGACGTTCTCGAGTTCATAACAGAATGTTGGAAATGCCATGGCTTTGTAAAATTGACAAGTATGTGTCAGGTTTCGACGTGTCAATTTGCGTATTATATATTATTTTGCATTTTGCATGCGTGGATACAACAGATCCATCAAATACCTATTGATTGGTATATCCGAAAACAGATGCCTAGTCATAGTATTGAAATAAGGGATGGGATATTCTCGGTCTAGCTTTACCTCTAGAACCATTGAAAGATCCCGTACGTACAAACAATATACAGAATGACAGATGAAAAATATATGAGCATAAACCAAACTTTCGACAAGATGTATACATATACCGTGTTATCCCTCCTGCAAGCGTTGTTAGTATAACATCTGACTGAAAACACTCACCGAAGGAAATTCCTCGAGCAGTAGAGGCAGGTTTCAATCCATTTGGGTGAAGCAGGTTCTTCTCGACGTGTGGCACGAGGGGCCCCCTTCAACGGTTCGGCTCGAAAATCGCGTGAACCTTACTGTTTTTGTTCCGGCAAAACTCCCAAAACGGCAACGCGCGCACTGGATTCCGGGTGAGACCTCTGACCGCACGCGTTTCTTGCCTGTCCAGGTATCATACCGTCTTGAAGCGAAGCGATCGCACGAAAACGTAGAATTTCGCGTTCGTTAACCCCCGTGAAGCTGCCTATATACTGTCGATATAAACTGCAGCGCGAGGAGACTCACATCCTTCTACGACCGTTTCTTCTTCGAGACTGAGCGTACCGACGCGAACGCGAATTGCGAAAGATTCACGCGCAGCCGAACTCTCCCGACCGCCGACCTTCGCCGCGCCGTGATTGGTCCATTTCTCCCGTGGTCCGCTGGACGAAATCCTGTCCCCCATAACCCCTCCTCGTCCCGCGGTCAAACCCGCACTGACGTGTTTTCCCTTCAATAACCTGTCATGACACTCTCTTCTCAGAAAGACAGTATTTAGCATTTTTTCTTACACTTTTCGTTTCATCTCAAGAATACAGGGCGCATATGATAAACAAAAAACTGATATCTATTATCGTCTATCATTCTTTTGATTTCATTCTGCTTAATCAATTCTTTTCACTCGTCAGTCGATCATTACTGAAAATACTTTCAATCTACGAATGTTTTACTTTAAACAGCGAATAAATAAACGTTGAGAATCTCGATTTGTCAATTAAACAGATATCCTGTCTTCTGTATTCGAATCTCGAATGCTAAATTAATCGGCATGTGGGATCTAGCCACGCGAAAGTCAGATGAAATGAAAACCCGTAGTATGGTTTTATTTTAGCTGATGGGGCCGCACGTGTACCCTCCGAGCTACAATTTATATCAATTTCCTTCTCCACGTGCTCTCCGGCTCGCAAACTCCCACATACGTCTCCACGTGCCGTGTGATAAGAAAAGGAGCTCGTGCTGTAATAACTTTGTAACATCCAGGCATACAATAAATCCTTAATTGAATGTTACAAATTAAAACGAAAAGAACGTAATCATAATTTCCATGCAATGTACGTAACGTTGAAGATATTGATTTATCGAGTCTCGTCACCTTGTGACATTCAAACTAACGTAGCGTTTTTAATTACATTAACCCCCTCCCGATAAATCCTATTAAACTTAAAGATTAGCACCGTACATCGAGATACTGCAATAATTCAATGATTTATTATCATTTGACATTCGATTCTCGTATCACGACGTAAATAATAATTCGTTGTAAAAAGATCATTCCGTGAAAGGGATATCAAATTGTAAACGACATGTATGATGATTGATCACAGAAAAATGACATTTATAAACAATTTAGTTAACCTCATTATGCCTTATTTAATAAACCTTCGCTCCGGAATTTGCCGGAGAAAGAATTCATACGTACCCTTCGTATTTCATCCCTCCTCCTATAGATTCTTATCATCGATGTCCATCGATATCCATCTTATCATCTAATGATATGCATTAGATACTTTACTCTCGTGCGGAGTTTGCGCACGTTTACCTTCAACATGGATTCTCCAGCCAGTGCACGAACTCTCCCTCTGATGTTCTGTCAATTGTAACATCCTTAGGATACGACAAAATAGGTCTAAGCTTTATTCTTGTACACATCGTCGGACGCTGTTTAATAGAATAGAAGACGGACAATCAATCAGTACATTGAGAAAATGTCTCAGGCCTACGTTCACGCTTGCGAAAGGGCGGAATTATTAGGATTACCGATTCCGACCGAGGAGGAATGGAAGGAAACGCAGAGGATAGAAGCTGAAAATCGTGTTAACGACGACGAAGATGACGCGGTGTTGCAAGTAATTATGTAATTGTATTACCGTTTAAAGATGATGATAAAAAGTATGATAGTTCCTTTTTTAATTGACAACCTTTCCGATATTATTCCAATTAATAAATAAGGATGATATTGCAGAATGTGGATTTAGCAGATGAAAGTGCACAACGAATTGGCGGTGGATTGGATGAGATAAACAGTATCCTTACTGTTACACAGAAGAAACTTAATAGATTCAAGGTTTAACAATTGTGATGATATTTCAGTCGCCCCTTGGAGTTCCACTCCCTGATATTTTATTAAGACACATTTTACAGACTGTCTGCGGCAGTTTGAGTACTCTGCTTAAAGTGAGGGTGGGTTCTAAGAACAGTACACCCGACCATAAACCCATTGAACAGAATCACAATGAGACGAAGGACGTCGATCCTGACACGTCTGCGAATGAGGAAAGCCTGGCAGTGGAATTGATAAGCGATAAGGAACAGGTGGTAAGCACAGAGAGTAGCAGCACGACCCCGAAAAAGATAGACCTGAATGAAAAGATGGGGTCTCATATAAATAAGTTAGATGCGCTGATAGCTAAAGCTGAGAATGCTCAATACAGTATGCAACATCAAACGAAACAAATGAAGAAGTTCATGAAGTAACTGCCACTACTGTGGGCAAGTAGTATTTCATTTGAATATTGTCAGGCTTCCTACAACTAAAGTTGATATCTTGTTTCGTTTTTTTACTCGCGATACGTACTTAATAAAATCAGGAATATGACATTTCCATTATTAGACATCCACTGAAACGTAGATTGTAGGGAGACAAATGTATGACGGTCCATGAACTATTAAGTGTTTAACAAACACGTACCTACTACACGAGCGTATGATAGAGATTTACACTTTGAAACGGCAAACATTTATTTTGCTTGATTGCTTACTGCATTCTAACAGCATATCACTCTGCGTATGTACACAGACAGAATGTGTACGTATCTTCAAATGGAAACAGAACTGCTTTATTTAAGTCTTAATATAAACGAATTCAACGAAAAGAATAGTGATACTAAGGTAACCTTCGGTTAAAACTGTTCTTCCTAATTCATTAGACTCGTCTATGTGATACAAGTATTATCAAAATATAATAGATACCAAACTCTTTCATTACGAATACTCATCGACATTTCAAAATGATTCTTTCTATGAAAGAAGTTTCGAAATACTTGTTAGAATATTTTCGCCTATTTATTTCGAAATGTTATTAATTATATTTTATAGCATTCCAACGTATATTTTATGTCACGACTTATTTATATGTTTTGATAGTTCCAAGCCTAAGCGAAGATGTATATTTATTGCACATGTAAGAAATTATTGTTGAAAGCTGCAATTTATATATATATATATATTTTAGCAAAATGGATCTATACGTATGATATTCAAGTATTATGCACGTTATTACTAGCTGTTTGTTCGAGATTGCAATTTAATTACAAGTTCAATATTTCAGTCACTTTGTGTAAAAAGTTGTATTTCTTCTACTTAATATTGATCATTGATTAAATGATTAACAGGATTATACAACTGCAATAATTCTAGTCATATACAATAATTGTTATAAATAATTTATCATCGTTGTGAAACGAGTACCTGAGCTCAGGTATTAGACAATATCAATGTGCCATTTCTATAACATGGCTTTGTTGACAGATCATTAGTTTTCTCTCTTGTAGCTTTTATAAAGAGGAAGTTATATTTATTTAGAAGGTAAACTAGTTTCGCGATACTTGAAAGATTGTATTTTTTATATTGAAAATTAGTATCGATTATATAGTTTACAGAGGTATTCGTCTGCGTGGAACATGGAAATATAGAATTGATTATGAGAATTAGTAAAATTCTAACAACGTTTTGTAACAATCTTCGTTTTTGTACGTTCAGCTTGAAATTGATTGTCCCAATGCTACAATAAAAGTTTAACATGTGAAACTGTATCAGATTATGATGAATCCCTTTCCCCTATAATATAAAACATGCTCATTTCCATATGTATAAATATGTAACCAATAATCTGTTCAAAAGTTCACCACAATCGCTGCCTATAAGCTCAACTGAGTAATAATTATCTCTAAAAATAGACAATCGTGACAAAGGATAATTAGCAAAGTAAATGTAATATTTATAATGCGATTAACTGCACTGGTTGCACTTTAAACGCGTTTTTTTATAACATGAAAAGTATTCCAGAAAGAAGTTCCTGCAACATCAGCTATTCTTCAGGTAAGGAGCACTAATTCCCATCGTACAATCAAACAAAAGCATTTGAAACAAACGAAAATTTAGAACGACGGTTCTTGAAATATTCAACTGAGTCAATTAATCGAGATTTTGGAAGTCGATTAAGAACAAAGAAATAATTGCCACGAGTTCACTCGAGCTCATCTCATCATTATTCATATCGAATTTAAGAAATTTAATATAATAAAAAAAGAAAATAAGATACCTTTAACCTATCGTACTATTCTAATAACCACCCTTTGAAAAACTCCAAAAATGATTTAATGTATGCGAAGAATGAACTATGAACGAATGTATGTACGTACATTCGTGTTCGTACATATATACACACAGGCGATATGTATATAGTAGTATGTAACGTGTTTCCTGTGGTTCCACGTATTCGAACAAACCAAGCGACGTATGGAAATCCAGATAAAAACTTCCAACCATTAAATATGACGTATACTGAGAGTTACATAAAAAGTAAATTAACCGAAGGATTGAACGCCTCGCATGTGGTATGTATTTTAACGTTATATTACGTTCGCGTGAACATTCCTTACGCACGTTCCTCTGCGCCGTCTTTTATCTAACCTCCATATTTCCGTTGTGAACCTAGGTAGCTAGACGCTACGTCTGAGATCTACCTACTCGTTAGTCGCAAATGAACTTGATATATAAATTACCGAAGGGCCGACACCGATTTCCGATCAGAAATGCAAGGGACCACAGAAATCGTATTAGTTTCCGTATTTGCGCTCCTCTTAAGATGGTCCGTCACGTACCACTCGTACAGCGGCCAGGGGAAGCCTCCGATGTTCGGAGATTACGAGGCGCAGCGACATTGGCAAGAAATCACGTTGAATGTCCCGATCGAGAAATGGTACATCAATACTACAGACAATGATTTACAGTATTGGGGCTTAGATTATCCACCACTGACAGCTTATCATAGTTTCGCGTTAGGCTATATAGCTAACAAGATTAATTCTTCTTATGTGAAATTACACGAATCCAGAGGATTCTCATCGGACGATCATAAATACTTCATGAGGCTCACTGTTCTCTGTGTAGACATCTTGATTTATATACCATCGATTATATACTTTGTATTGACTAATCAAGGAAACGAGAAAGAAGATGCACTCGATATATTCGGTTTTCAAAAGAAACACATCAATCTTTCGATAATGTTAATCTATCCAGGATTAATCTTAATAGATCATGGACACTTTCAATATAATTCATTCTCGTTAGGGCTGTTTGTTTGCGCTGTAGCAGCCATGCTCCAGGACTCGTTCATCGCTGGGTCGGTTTTATTTGTTACAGCGTTGAACTACAAGCAAATGGAACTTTATCACGCACTGCCAATTTTCTTTTATATACTTGGAAAGTATTTGCCTGTGAGAAAGAGATTCTCGTTGTTCAATTTAGTAATGTTACTGTCTATATCGCTCGCAGTAGTTTCCACGTTCTTCATTATATGGTTGCCGTTTATTAAAGACTTGGAAACATTCGCCAGCGTTGTTTTTCGATTATTTCCGGTCGCCAGGGGCGTGTTCGAGGATAAAGTTGCCAATATCTGGTGCACGGTCAATGTGATTTATAAGTTACGCGACGCTTTCTCAAACAAGCAATTAGCTAAGATCTGTTTAGCCGCGACGACGTTTGCCGCTTTACCGAGTTGTCTAAATCTGTACTTGAATCCGCAAAAGAAGAGGTTCATCATTTCCCTTATAAACTGTTCGCTAGCATTCTTCCTGTTCTCGTATCAAGTTCACGAAAAATCAATTCTACTTGTCGCAATTCCAGTTTTATTACATTTCCAGAACAATCCGTTCCCCTGTTTCTGGTTTCTGATAATCTCGCATTTTAGCATGCTACCTTTGTATATAAAAGACAATCTGTACTTGGCGTATTGGGCCACATCGATCTTCTATTTCTTTTTCGTTATATGGGTGTATCCCGACGTTTTCGATAGTACATCGTCGACTAATGCCAATTCGAAGAAGCAGGCACGCGACGCGAATTACGTTTATCAAAAACGAATTAAAACGAAGCTACAGAACAACAAATTGAAAAAAGAGATATTCTGTTACAAAAATTATTTTCTACCGTCAAATTACAATCTGTATCTTTGGAAAACGATCCTATTTTATTGCTCAATTCTGGGAGTGGTAATACTCTCTTTGATCAGCGGTTTCTTAAAACCTCCGGCAAAATATCCAGATCTATTTCCATTGTTAATATCTGTGTATTCTTGTGGACATTTTATTGTCTTTTATTTATACTTTAATTACAAACAATTTGTGTGTAAATTATAAATTTAAAATAAACCAGAGGAAAAACGTATTTTTGTCATTACTTATTACCAAGTTCCTTGATATCGAGAGCTAACGTTGTAGACAATCAAATATCGACTTTTCAAATGAAAGTAATTTGAAGCAATGAAAATAAAAAGTCAGCTACGTGGGAGATAATATTTGCACGCGTCATCATCGCCTCTATGATGTATTAGATAATTTTATTTTTATATACTTGAACTTTGATCTAGTACTAAGTATTGCTTTACTAAATTACCATAACAATATTACGCGAGAGATCAAGCACGATCGCATGCTGCTTTTCCTCCCAGTATACCTCAGATCGTTTAACAGAGAGTTAGGCTCGAGACGTGTTGCTGTATTAATAGTTACTTAAAGAATTATAATACGAATTTAATATCCACTGTATAATTACCAGTCAAATAAGGAACGTTTTCAAATCTTGTAGGAAGTCACAGATGAGTCTGATGGTTGCGGCGCTAAGTTTTCTGTGACAATCGTTTCTAGCGCGTTCGAAGGCAAACCTTTGCTGCAACGTCACAGGTATTTGTGTTAGACTAGGTTCCTGAAACATTTGAATAATATCTTATCTAAAAAGAATTCTGTCAATATTCCAGATTGGTAAATTCCGTATTGGAGACAGAACTGAAAACTATCCATGCATTCTCGCAGAAAACGTTAACGCCGGCTGAGTGGAAAAAGTAGGAGATGATAAAAAGGTATTTCCTGATTGAGAATCGTTAGTAACTTGTAATATTTAATGGAATTGTTTCTGTTTACCTTGACAGCACCGTAGACAAAGTTCACCGGATTTAAAATGATTCAATTCAAAGTGTCTGCACCGGGGAAAGTAATTCTTTTCGGGGAGCATGCGGTGGTGTACGGGAAGACAGCCGTGGCGGCTAGCGTAGATTTACACACGACTCTACAGTTCACGGAATTACCTGAAACAGATGAGATCGTTAAAGTATACTTCCCTAAAGTGAACCTATTCGTCAGCATAACGCTGCAACAGATACGAGAATTTTTTCTGACCAACAACGACGCGGGGCTCGTAGACAATCACGAGATGTTTTATAATAAAGTGAAGGAGTTCGTCGGTATCGTTAAGTTCGCGAATGCTCAACAGAAATTCAGTTTAGAAGCGTTCTTTTATCTTTTTATTTATATCGCGCAGAAGGAGACGATCCATGTGAAACCGTTCCAAGTTCAATTAGACACGGACTTGGCGATCGGTTCCGGCCTCGGTAGTTCCGCCTCGTTCGCGGTTTGCTTGGCCGCCTGTTTCCTACATTGGTCGCGTTTACAGAAAGATATCTACGAGAAATCAGATTTCTCCAGCCCGGACTTAGATATTATATCGAAGTACGCGATGGCCTGCGAACGAATCATGCACGGCAACCCGTCGGGCATAGACAATTCCATTTGCACGTACGGATCATTGATAGAATTTAAGAAGAACGATTATATGAAACCAATAGGCGACGTACCTCCTATGAAAATTTTATTAGTAGATACAAGAGTTAATAGAAGCACGAAGGTTCTGATGGAACGGTTGTTAGAACTGAAAATCAGGTATCCAGTTATTATTGATCTGATCATGGACTCAATAAATAATATATCGAAAGAAGCGATTAAACTCATTGAGAAGTTGAAAAGTTATCCGTGTACTAATGACAAGAGTCTGCTCGACGGATACAGCCAGCTGATGGTGAGTGCTTTTAACATAGAATACTCGACTGTTATTCGGGAAATTGCGCTTAGTCATTTGCATGTCCAAATGTTATCGGCTGTGATGAAGTCCTTTCGGTAGCTATGAATTTATTCAAATCTTCTTACCGCTTCGTACGCATTGTTACAGACGCTTATTAACATGAACCAAGGACTGCTGGCCACGTGCCAAGTGTCTCATCCATCCTTAGACAGAATTTGTGCGGAGGCACAAAATTATGCTCTGGCAGCTAAGCTCACCGGTGCCGGCGGCGGTGGACACGCCTTCATCCTCTTATTACCGGACACCCAGCCGGAGACGATCACTAGTATATCGCGGAAATTGATCGCCGATGGATTTACAGTTAAGTTAACGACGTTAGGAGGTCCCGGAGTCCAAATTGTCAAGTAATTTTATTCTTGATTATCTTGTATACTGTTTCAAATTATTCTTACTGTTCATGCGACCTAGGATTTGTTTATAATTATTATTAATGATAATAATATTCCGAGAAGTATTTATATAACTTCTTTACGGGTTCGTCCGTAAAATAAAACGATGGTAAAGTTTTGTTTATGAATAGTCTAACGGTCTTCTTTTATTTAAATATCTGAAATAAGAGAACTGTATTACTTCTTATATCAATTAAATATCACGTTCATTTTTATTTTACGTTTTTTGGTAGAAATTTCATGACTACATTTATTGCTACTTATCAGCGAAGTTTTATATTACAATCCATCATGAAATCATATGTGACGCGGAAGTAACTGAAATTTAATTTACTATTACTACTATACAACGTTCGACGTTCTACGGCGCGGACGTCGCAAGTTCTCTGTTAATCCTAAATGATCTGATTCGGTGATCGGCTCTTCTCTACAAAGTTCCTCCGAACTATGAGCTTCGTTCAATAAAATTTGTCTACTCTCTGCCTGCCTCGCTTCCGCGACCCACTCATTAATTTCATTGGTGTACATCTTTCTTTGCAATACTTCCCTCGTTCGCGGACGCGATCCAATGAAAACAGTAGTCCCCTACGATATTTTTATTAACGTTCATTAAAAGACAACTTATTGTGAAAGCATTAAGACTTACGCCGACTACTAGAGAAGGTCGTAATTTTTCTAAAAGCTGGAAATCCTCTATAACGTATTGCAACTCGTCCCACTTTAACTCCACTTCTTCGTGAAGCATTTTCTCCTCTGCAACACGAAGAGTAAATAAGAAACATCGAAGATTGAATATAATTTATTAAACTGGAAATGTACTTACCATCACGTTTAGATGTTGACTTCTTATAATGTATTCGAAACCGGAATGCTTCCAAGAAACTGGAGACGACGATCGTTAGAACGATCATCGTCACCAGGTAAAATACCATAAAGTACAATCGCGTGTACATCCCGACAGTAAATGCGTACGCGTTCATTTGAATAAACCAGTTGTTCACGACTGTTAATTCGAACAGAGTCATCCCGCTGTCTATGAGATTGTCAAAAGTGTTCAGATAGTAATATCCTAACGCGGTGCTCTCGTTAGCAGAATATTTGTAAAAATCTTCGACTGTCGTATTCCTACGAAACGAATCTGCCATATGGTACGAAATATGCGATAATACAAATTCCTGTTAATGTACTAACTTGCAACAGTTTCGCATGTTGTACCCGGCGAACAATTCCATTCCGATGATCGCGAAGAAATAGTATAAAACCAGCATGACTACCGCGGTGGAGGACATCAGAGGAGTTAAAATGACAAGCGTGCCAAACACGTCTCGATACCTCTTTTTCATTTTAAACAATCTCAGAATCCGAAACGGGCGGAATAAAACGAAGAACGTAGCCGTGGAGAAGAGACGTAAAATGCAACCGGCGACAAGAGTCATTATCGACGTTCCTAAATCGAAAAGATTCCAGCCGGAACTAAGATACCGCCTCGTGCCAAGTCCCAGCACTTTAATCAACGCCTCGGCAACGAATACTATAGAATAAAAAGCGTTTAATAAACTTCAGTCCCGAATTCCTTGCCAAAATATTTGCCACTTACTAGTTCCAAAAATAAAAGTGTCCCAAGACGCAGCAAACAACAGTGTACTTTCAACGATATCGCCCGGTTGCAATATCCTTATTATCATGGCGATGCCATTCGCAGCGATTGTCACATCTAAATATATTATTTTCGTTAAGCACAAACCTGTTGCTTCCTTAATTTACCTTGTTTTCGGACTTACACATTAGAGTTTCGAAATACGGCCATCTGATAGCGGCGTGAGCGCCGGTGCAGAGGATCTGCAACGGCCGGGACGAGCTGTGGTACCAAGGTACAGTGGAATACTGCGGCTCCCACTGAAGCATGATAGTGTCGTAGATATTTAAAAACTCCTCGGAGCTCAGAACTCCGCTTCCCGAAGCGTTCAAATGTTGGAACATCAAAACGACGTCCCTCAGGCCTGTGAAAAATCTATGCTTACAAGACCAACTCATTTATCTTAATTTTAAACAAGAAGCTTCGAGATTCTATATGAACGTTACATACTTTTATTCGGTGCGTAATACCGCATCAGTCCCTCGAACTGGCGGAATCGCATTTTGTCCGGATTCTGTTTTGACACTAACAACTTGAAAGCATGCTGAGACGCTTTCCTTTTATGAAGAAACAGCTTTTTGAACTTGTCGCGTTCAGCTGCGGTGAACGCGACGTTAACTACCGCCAGCATTAAATTCATCATCACGTATAACATCGTGCACAAGTAAGACACAAAGAATATCGAGTACCATTTACTTTTGGAATACGAGGGCATCATCACGTCTGGAAAGCTGTACATCCGAGGTGTTAACGACCGAGCGAGTTAACGTTTAATTTAATTACGAAGTTACTCACTTAGCAGTGGTCAGGAGGACGAAGAGGCTTACGAAACTGTCTTGCAGCGTATAGAAATTCCGGTTCATATCGGAGAACATGTAATACCCCATCACTGTGTAAAGCGTTATGAAAAATAAAAGCAGGCCCAACATATCTAGAATCGGTGGTAGCGTTAAAAGTATTTGCCTTATGAATCGTCGGACGCCCCCGAAGCATTTGGTATCGACTAAAAAAATGGGCCTCAGGGCGCGCGTCACGCGGAAGTGCGACGACTGCCGCACTAATACTGTTAGTGCTTCTACGAACATGATCACCAGCGTGATACACTGGAAAATGCAATAAATACAAAGTTACAGATTTATGAAATTGTAGAAAATTCCATTTGGAACAATGGCAGAATTTTCCTTTCGTATTGATAAGCGTATAATCGGTGTCTAATACTTTTAAACCATTGTGTAATACAGACATGAATATGGACGAGCACAGCGTCGTCAATAATAAGCCTGTGACGGTTTCATTATTCATATAGCATACATACATACATTAAGTCAAATTGTATTCTGCAGAGCATTAACATACGTGATATATCGTACATAGAAAACGAACAAACGAAGCAATCGTCTGCCTCTCCCCTACGCAAAAACTTTAATCTGAAACGGTCTGCTGTTGCAGTACATCTCTTATCTTCTTATTAGTACTCTCTTGCTTTTTGTAGAAGACAACCGTAGCATTATACGTTGTTCTCAAGATGAATCAACAGAGTAGTGGAAGAAAACTACTCCGATCTCGACTATTCGTTAACAATATTTTTAAATAAGATGATACATGCAGGAAGGTTCGTACGAAATGAAATGAGATTTAGATGTCCGACGTTTTTTACCTTCAACATCGTCCGTTTGTGTCTCAGCATCGTGGACCAACCGATCCATCTTAACTTCAGAGCTAATTCTGTGCCTATAATTATCAAAGCGAAGAGTTCTATAGATCCGTGTGCCCATACCGGCATCTAAAATAAAAACGATGGTAAAAGGGAATGAAAGATATAAAGGAGCTAAAGGAAATGAATAAGCTTACGCTGAACAGCGGCACAGCTGGATCTTCCACAAGAGCCAAAGCCAAGAGCAGAAGGGAAGTTAACAGGTCTAATCCATAATACCAGTTATTGTGAACTAATAGATACGCCGGCAAATCCCCTGGATGTTTCGGGTGAGAGTCGAACTTTTCATTGTTTCTGCCTTCCTGTAAAAATGTACAGTTCCGAATTCACACGTAAAACAGTTATTAACACATGTACGTACCTCCAGAAATATCGCAGCCTCATGATAATTCATTTCCCAGTGCAAATCATGATCCGCGAGCGAATCGTGCGACGGAAGTATCGCGTTTTCAGATACCGTCTCTCTTTGCACATCATCTGTGTCAAATTTATTAATAAATTGATCAGTCGTTCTTGTGCTTTCAGCAGGAGGGCTTGTATGATTGTTTAAAGAAGAACAGGGTAGCGTAGATCCATATTCTACAGTAAGAAATAAATACAAAAAATAAATAACATTAAAACAAAACGCACGTATAAGTATTAATCGCTAGATGATCCTTTAAAAATTCGATAAACATAATCAAGTGGCATGCACAGTTGCCTAACAATTATCACGACATTAAAATTGTTCATGCATTGCCAAATATTTACTACAGACCGCGCGTTAATTATAATTAATATAATTAATATAAACAGATGATGTGTAATACAATAAATGTTCGAGAAACGAGGATGGAAATGACAACAATACGCAGCTGTCAAAATTCACTTTGCACTCTCGTTCGTTCGTGAACGATGAGACGAATCTATTCGACATTCATTAGGGATTGACTTTAGACTCACTTTGGCTGGGTCGATGCGAAACGTCCTGTTCGTTCGTGTCATCGTTGAACCGTTGATAATTGCCGGAATATTCGATGCTTTTAGGGGAAGACATTTGAGGATGATGTGTCACATGTCATATACGCACGGCTAGCAACACTTATTTACACTGTCTAATCCCACGCGATGATGTCACTACTCAGATGGTGGCCACCACTGACTGGATTAAACTGAAAACCATCCGCGGAGATATACGCATATTTTCGAGACAAACGATACTTTACATAATTACGGCATCATAATACCACAGTGGGTGCTATTCGATCTTCGTGTGTTCAATGTTCCAGTCCGTCAGTCAGGCGCATGCGTATTGATTGCAAGTAATCTCAATATAGCGTGCACGTCGATTTAATAAACCTGTAATTAGCAGTACTTATGTAAAGTTCTCGATTTTTCACATTAATTACTATTTCCATAAAGTTTTTATGTACTTGAGTAACGAAGCGATGCTCTGTTATTGCAATTAGGAAAATGGTAAGAGAATTCTATTCGGGATTTCTGTGTTTATTATTCTGTATTTGTATCGAAATCACAAAAGGCTTAGAACTTTAATCTGTGTGGGTACTGGCTGCTTCGCAGACCGAACATCGCCGACAGATAAGTAAATAACAGCTTCTTCTCCTTGTTCCTCTTAATAGCAGAGATGACGAATTTATCGACTACTTTTTGGTCAGCTTTCCTTTGATCGCTCGGTTTGTATTCGTCCTTCTTTTTACTAAATATATCGCCTTCCTCCTTCTTTGCGCGTTTCTCGCGTTTCCTCTTGAAATAATCATCGTTGATGTGAGCCGGGATCTTCAGACCGGAGATGTTGATACGCGTGGACGTGGCGATTACATAGTTCTGGCTGACTCTTCGTAGCGGGCAAGCGTTTATCAAGAAAGGACCTGTTTTCAAGAATATTTCGTTAGACTCTCGGTTTTATTATAATGCTTGTACATTAGTTTTGAGTTAAACTCACCTGTGACTAAGAGTAAACCACTCTTAAGTTGTTTCAAGAAAACGACACGTTTTCCTTTGTGAGCACCGGCAAGTAGAATACAAATCGTCCCTGGTTTCAATGAAGGCCTCAAATAACGACGATGGTCACTGAAACACTTCTTGGAGTGATGTACAGTCACAGGATCTGCAGTAGGGTAGCTTGCACGCCTCTTCTTCAATAGCACTATACGTTTCTCTCCATTTTTGTCACCACTGATTTTCTTTTCTACGGTGATCGGTTTCTTGGGCTTGACCTGTTATTAAACGTTTATTAAAAACGACGATGTAAATAAATGAAACGCAGGAAATATCGTTAAACGTACAGTTTTTGGGGTCTTCTTTTTGATGAACTTGTAGATGGCTTTCTTGTGGTACATACGCGACCGGCTGAATCTGTACACACCATTTCCTAAGTCGTAGTTTCTTGGCCTGATACGACCCCTCTTTCCAGCTGTTTTCCCCGAAGACTTGCCAGTCTTTTCTGGAGATTTTGCTTTCGCTTCTTTTGCTTCCTTTGTCTCAGACATCTGAAAAAAAATAAATGTGAATGGCAACACAATCTTAGTACTTTAAGAGTGATACAGTAATCTCTTATTAAAACTTGAAGGTTAAGTCACGTTTTCGTATTTTCACACTTTCATCGAAGACCAGAAATCGATAAGTATTTGCATAAGAATCTTTCAAAATATCGTTAGGAATGTTCGATTTCAGGGGGAATACGTTTAATTGCCTCTTAGAAACAATGAAATGTCAAAGTCTGTCCTATTAGAATTTAGGTTCGCGATATATAACGAAATTATACCGTTAGCAAGAAAATATAGTATTCTTAACGACGGTGGTATGTAGAATAGACAAAACTTCGTGTAATATTCAGTTTTTCTTCTGTCATAGTAACAGATTACTTTGATAATATTTGGATCGTTTTGTTCGATTCCAGCTTACCGTAAACCGCGCAGCTAAAAGAACCCACGCTACGTTTTCATCTATAGTATAGTGTACGACTTGAGGAATGTCGATCGTAGCACCGTGAGTGGAGGAATGGTGAAACACAGATTTCAATTAAAAGATTTGACTTTTTTACTATTCCTCAATGGCCTAACAACTGGGCTATTGCCATCGATATAGATTATTCTGACTCGCATAATGTATTTTCTTTTACAAAGAATTGTAAAACAGAGAGAGATGTAATTTTAAACAGCCAAGTGCTTCCGCCCCTACCCACTTACCGAACGCGGTTGCTAGGCAACAACGGGAACAAGTGGCGGCCATTATGGATTCCTGCGCAACGTTATTTGTACGCGCATTAGTAATTTGAACGTGCGAAATAACGGAAATCGTAGAATCAAGGAGTAGGTAAATGAATGAAATAAGGTACATTTATGAAACAATTTATTTTTTTTATTGGTGAAGGTGGGTTCTGATAAACTAAGTATGCATTAGGCTAAATCGATTCCACAACTAAGGGTTTGTAAAGTTTACACAAATCGAAACTATCGTCGTGTCCCGTTAAGTTTTGTTAATTTAACAATAGATTTATGTACAGGAAATTATATTAATTCTTGATTAGATTATAATACGAAATACCGTTAATCGTAAAACAATTAATAATAATAATAATAATAGTAATAAATGATTAAAGTTAATTGTATCGGTATTAAATTAACATGATCAGATATTTAACTTCGTAAGACCACGTATGATATGATTCCCTTTTTCGTAAGGCGTTATTAAAAAAATATCAGTTATACTCCTAATTATTATTATTATTATATATATATATATCATTTTATATTTAATATTGTTCTTAAGCTAATATCACAATGGCTCGAGACAGTCGACACTTCCAATATTTGTGCACGTATCCTTGTTCAGTTTTGCCGGCTGTAAAACTGTCCTCAATTAACTTCCATCCTATTGTATGTGTAGCAAGTGAATTAATTAATTTGTATGCTATACAAATTTGAAAAACGCCTATTTCTATATATGAAAATTCTAAAATCGCACGAGCATTGGTTCTTAATTCTCTAATGGACATACAAATTACATGTAAAAATTCACTACTTTAAACTACAGACCGCGCGGAGCACGTGTTCCCTTTAACATATTAAGAGAGTGCTGTTTACCTCACATCGCACGTACGTATTTACAAATGATCTAGTATAGTTGTAAAAAAAGCGAAAACAGTGCCCATTAAACGAAATTAATTATCAGGCGTAGGTTCGGCTGTTCTCAAAATAAAAATGCTGCCTTTTGATACTCAGCTTCGCTAAATAAATCATATTTGCAAAGGCACTGCCTCATTTACATATAAGTACTTCATCTTCAGTAATCAAACTTAGAAGTTAGATGCAATAAGTAAGAATAGAACTTCCAATGTTTCATGTGTACATGCAATTTAGTTGTTAATAGATTTGAACTCAGTTTTATTTTCATTAAGACATATGAAACATAATATCTCAATAGAAGAATATACGAGTATGCAAATACTAAATTCTTTAAGTAGACTATTGTATTAAAAAGATAGATTTTATTTTTACTTGTCCATCTCGAAACGAACACTGGTACAGATTATCTCTTAACACTTGATTTTACACCGAAGTAACAATTGTCCGTCGAGAAATTAAACTTAAACTCAGTGCTCCCTGACAAGAATGACGGGTATTTTTCTTTAGACTCCAGGTACAATAACACATGATCAACAATGTAATATAAACACTATCGTTACGTCACCTCACTTTTGTTTGACGTTACCTTATAATAATTGAGGACATCGAGACATGTAGTTTTAAAAGTATATCGACAACAGTTAAAGATTGTAAAAATAATTGTGTAACATTTTCATTGTTAGTCCATTGACAGAGTTCTGCGATACAAGTCGAGAGTACAATAGACATTTTAATTGCAAATAACCATGAATACTATGGAATTCGAAAGGGAAGAGTGTACGAAGGAAATAAGTGTTACAGAATGCTCACACTGTTTCCGCTTGCTAGTAAATCTTCGCTATGTTCATCGGCTGATCATGCATTTAAACATAAAAAAATAAAATTCATTAATGTGCTTCATAATAATGGAAGTACTTCGCGTTTATCATGAATCGCTATGACAATCTCAAGTGTTTATACATACAGTCTACATATAATCTTATCCTAGGCTCCTCGGGCAATACACGCGTCCAGCGTAGTCCTATATTAATTACGAATGCAATCGTACATTCGAAAGTAATCAAATAATGTTTAAAATCTTTACACTACAGATTCTTAGACTGCTGAAGAGCTCGTAACTTCTCCGTCATTTTACGCACACGCCCCCTGCTACTTATGCTAATGCCCGCTCTGTCGTTCTCGGGTTCCGGACTTTCGTCGCTCTCCTCCGCGTAGTATCGTCGTTTAATTTTACGTCGATTCCGAACCGGCGCCGTATTGCTCTCGTCACTCTCCTCATTGTAACGAGGTCGTTTGCCCGTTCTCCGCGAATTTTGTACAATTTCTACATTCTGCGCCTCCCTCGTCGCCCGAACTCGTCTCTGAGATCTCGACGACACGTATGCTCCTTCCTCAGAGTCGTCGCTGTCCGAATCATGATTATTCATTTCATTCTGCGACTGCTCGTCTTCATCCTGCTCCTCGTCTTCTTCCTCCTCATCCTCCTCCTCCTCGCTCTGACTTTCTATATTGTTTCTCCTACTTCTCGGTGTGCTTTTTAAACTGTCCTCGTGTTCGGACGGGGACGCTAACTTCCGAGACCTCGTTCTACTCCTATTAATAACTTCCTCTTCGCTCTCGTCGTCTGACAGATCGTTCCCAGTGGACGCATCGTCTTCCTCGAAATCGTCACTCTTTGCATTTTCATAACTATCCTGCTTCGTCTTTGCTTTAACTTGTCTATTGTTTTTACTATTTTTCGCACGGTTCTTGCGAGTCTGTTTCCCGCGCCCGCTGGGCGTGTACTCGTCCCCGGAATCACTCTCAGCACTAACACTAGGTACCGTTTTCCTAGCTCGCGTTCTCCTCATCGGTACACTACCACTACTTTCACTGTCCGACGACGCCTCCGAGTCACTGGCCTCGTCACTTTCACTCTCTCTCGGTTTCTTAGACACCGTCGATCGAGAGATCCGCAGTTTTATCGTTGGCCGCGTCGCGTTCAATGAACGTTTCGTGTGTCCATTCGTCATCCGTGATGGTCCTGCGAAAGGAACAACAGGTTTATGAATAGTCTTCCGTGTGTATAATATGTGTATATCCATACCTGGTGCACACACGTTAACATCATTGTTTTCTGGTTCACCCGTCTCCGCGTCGTCGTCCTCACTGTTCATAGGTTCATCATCGTCGGAACATGCGGACTTCGATTTCGAAGGACCTGCAAATATACGCACTTTAAAATTACTCTGAATTGTTTTAAATTATTACAGTTTAAATCGATAGAATGAGGACGTACCTGTGCCGTTTGTTAACCGAACTTTACCTCTTCTAGCTTTCCCCTTCGTATTCTTTGCATTGGTATTCCGTTTCCTCGCAGATTTCCAATTAGATAGGATTTTACGCATATGTTCTTCAAACATAGCCGATAATCTTATTGTCATCGAGTATATCTGTAATAAAAATCGTCGATTGTATTCATCCTAAGTATCGTTGTAATAAATAAGAGACGTACCCTCGATCGCTTATTAGTATTATAATTTCGGCTGTTAGTAAATATTAATCGCATATCTTTGGCAAACTCTAAAGGAGTTTCGTAGTTTCCTCCCAGCAGATCCTCTTTCACCGTGCGCAAATCCATCGGCGTGTCTATGATCTGATGGTAGTCCGGGTGTTCTAGTCTATCAACTGGTTCTCTGTAAAATGTAACAATAATATTAATGGCAGATAACAATTGGTGATGACTGATATACTAAAATTGACCTACCTGAAAGGAATGGAATCCTCGCACTGCCATAACGTTTCTAGTAATTGACGACAATTTATTCTCCAGTCAGTCGGTACTTCTTGCGAGCGTAGATTTCTACTTGAAGTCGCTCTCTGCGTACTAGTCGAAGGCTTGTCCTTCACGTCTTCCATCTCGACCTCTGACTCGGAGGAATGATACGTGTCCACCAATTGATGGTAGAGAGCCGGCACGTCCAAGTCCGTAGGCTCTCTGCGTAACAAATTCAGAGTTATGCGTTTTTATCAAATAGAAATTAGCTGTAATTTGATGGGCCATTTCTGTGAGAGGATAAATAAGATTTTACTTTATAATACGCAGGCATAGATCGGTGACTATCCTTGCGTGCTTCACTATTTGACTATGCGATTCGTTGAATTGTTCTGCGTTCGTCGCTAAGTATCTAACATCGAATTGTGCAGATGTTATTCGTCGATAAAAATGATTATCAAAACGAGCTTTTATGGTGGTCAGATCGATCGGGTATTCGACGAAGAATGCATATGTGGGATACGCGTTGAGATCAACAGGTGCCATGAACGGTTCCGCGATCGCTAGGCTCATCACTTGATCCAGTCCGCGTATGATCCTACGGCAGGTGCCTTCCCTGTCACCCATCGGCCACTCCTCCGGATGGGGCTGATACAATATGGACTGTATCTCCTCCGGTAGTACAGGAACTGCGCCACCTAATTCTGCGGGGAGTCCTAGTATAGCGGAACGAATTAAATGTTAATTCGAAACGATGTTAAAACTGAATCGACGATAATCTTAACGTACTGTTTTCATCGATCGGTTCGAGATCCCAAGGACTCATTCTTTCGTACTCCCCGTTATCCCACCTAACGCGGAAGCACATGAAAAATGATTCCGGGAAATCGTCGTCTAACGGTTCCATCGATTGTATTTGACCTATCCACCAGCCATCGTCGATCATGCACCGAAATCGATCGCCCTCGGACCAACTACGTGCTAGTGCCGTGTCGAACGTTTGACGTAGCACTAAGAAATCCAGAACGTCGGCCATGTCGTGATATTTGATAGTAAAATTTCCTCCCGTCAATCTCCCGTCCTCGTCCATTAATGCTAATTTTAAACAACACAATCGTGGAGGACGTATTTCATACTTAATACCTACTACCTTTACGAATTCTTGGGCCTATGAAAATAGTATAGTTAGCATAGAAATTGCGATTTATGAAATAGTGGCTAACAAAGATTCTTACCCTAATATTGACTTTACTCCACGGTTCGCATCGTGGACCCAATTCATATACTTTTTTATTCCTAACGGCATCTAAATAAAATTGGTGTCCTTGCCGGAAGTACACTATTTCGTCGCCCATTTGTGGATAGTAAGGAGCTTTTCTTGGTATTACTTCGGTGAGCCATTCCGAAGGTCTAAAAACTTCAGGAATATCGTCGATACCAGTAGGCAGTGGCATATCCTTTTTCCTAGGCCGCGTATTACGTTTTCTATCTGCATCGCTTGGCGGTGTGAGAGATCGTTTCTTCACGGGCTTGCGTTTACTTCGTTTCGGTGGCTCCAAGCTTAAACCGTGATCGGCAATCCAGTCTGAATATTCCGTACTAGAATCTGACGTGGAACTGTCGGAGCACAAATCCTCTTCGTGAGCAGTGGAATCGTTACTATTACTACTAGCCGAACTCGCCGACGTTCCCACATTATCAGGATTCTGTAAACACGAACGAATCATTAAGAATCGATGAATTTTAATGAAATTTCTATGGAAATTACCTCGAAGTCCTCATCTTCCTGTTCCTCGCCGCGCGTAGCTCTAGTTCTATATCCGTGCCTAGTAGTTCTATTACGTTTCCGATTCGCTAATCTGCTTCCTATGTTACCTTCAGTAATGGCAGTATTCGATACAGGCTGCGGTCTCCTTCGCATCTCGCGTTTCAAATTTTCAAGTTCCATTTCTGCCGTCGCGAGTCTGTAAACAAGATACATTTGTTATTTCCTTGTACATCGATTAATCGAGCGATCGTCGATTATATGCAGACGTACAGAGCTTTGATCTGCGTCGCTCTAACAGCAGGATTCATAGGACGAGCGAGAATCGGCTTGTTCCAAGGCGTAGTGTTATCCCTTTGCCAATTCCCGCTACTCTGTCGCACACCTTCGACATCTCCGGCTCTCCTCAAGCCGGACCTGCTCCCTCGTGGACTAGCCATATGTCGAACTGGCTGTTCCGGGTTTTCTTCCCTGTCGTCGGCTGCACTCTCGCCGTCGATATTAATATTTTGCCTCTGTGCAAGCGCTTCTATTAATTGGTCGATATTGGACCGCGGCTCTTGAGACGGAAGACCTTCTATAACTTCTTGCATTCCTACAGAAGATATCTTACGTTACGATATGTGACACACGATAAGATGGTAGTAAAATGATTTATGTACCTCCGGCGCCTACTGCAATATTTGGTACCAATTGTTCTCCTCTACAATTCTCTCTCCCGGGAACTAATCTTTGCAATGCCGGTGGATAAGGGTTTCCATCCACGTCTACTAGAAACGGTGGAGGCATTAAGTGAGGCGCTGTTTGCGTCTGCTCGTCCAAAACATAATTATTCGCGTCTCGTATTAAAGGTCTATAATCCGTGTGGAAAAATAATTCTTTAGGTACCTGGATAAAAGTAAAAATATAACACTCTTGAAGAATCCCTTGAGTAAGCTATGCATAATCGAAGCGAGTAACGACATGTGAAAAGAGATCACTTACTATTTTAAGTTTCTCGACACCAGACCCGAATCCGTATATTAAAAGATGCCCGTGCGAATCGGTAGCTGCCAACATCGTCCCGTCCGGGGACCACTTCGCGTCGAAGACAGCACCGTTACCCTGTCCCTCGATAAAATTTTGGAAACACGCTATCGGTTCAGTGTTCAGTACGTCCCAGATCATTAGCTGCCCGTCGTGCCCAGCACTCAGTATGATGCGAGGGTCTATAGGATGAGATTCTAATACAAAGACTTCATCCTTATGACCACGTAAAATTTTCACTAATTCCCCGTTCTTCGCGTTCCATACTTTAAGCGAGCTATCGTTCACAGCCGTGATGACCCATTCGTCACTGACATCCCAGCTGACCATAGTTACTTTCGCTTTTTTATTAGAATCGTCCTCCGATTCCGTTTCCCTGTAATTAACATTTAATTATTAACATCTGCCAAGACGTTTAATCAATCTCTTCGTAAATACATACCCAGGGAGTTTGGTGGTCATTAACAAACGCGTGTACATCCACTGTTGCTGTTCAAAGTGCCAAACGTTCGCGGTACCGTCCTTCGAACCGGAAATGAACTTCAAACCGCTGTGTGCCCACTGAATGCTGTCCACCGTGTCAGAATGCGCTTCCACTTCTAAAACCCTGCATGGACCTTCGTCTCCCAACATCGAATACACTCTAACATGATGATCTGCAGAGCCTGCTGCCATAAACGCGCCCCCAGGGCTGAACGAAGCACAGATCATCTGTGCTTGGCCCGGTCGCATCTTCTCATGATATTGAATTGGTTTTGGTCTGCGAAAAACGAAGATATTAATCGTTTCATAAAGTATAAAAGGATGTATCTCGTTCTTGGATTTGTTAACACTCACTGAAAAATTGCTCTTTCGTTGCGTTTCTTCACGTGCGACCAAAAGGCAACAGATCCATCCGTACTCGTAGAAACCAAGTAATATACACCGTTGCAAGAGATAGGGCAGAAGTTCACAGAAGTGATCATACCGGAGTGTCCAGATAAAACTGCAACCTGACGAGAACATAAATTAGAGCGATCGGCCAAGATGTTAAAAGCTGATCAACTTACGGGTGACATCGTTTGAAAACACCAGACCCTTAATATCCTATCTAAGCTACCAGCAGCGAGTAAAGTATTATCAAAATTAACTGCGATGTCCATGATTTCGGCAGACGCTCCACGGAAAGTAGCTAACAAACGACCGTCGATGGAGCTCCATACTTTAACGAGTAAATCGTCTGCACCGGTTATTATGTATTTCCCAGTGCGATCGAAAAGAACACAATATACTGCAGACAAATGGCCTAAAGTGTGTCTGTACAATTGCATTTTATTGTAAAACTTCGTAGGTATCGCCTCTCGCCGGGTCAGGGGACCTGAATTCTCCCGTCCCTGAATTACATGTACTGTACGAAGAAGAAGAAATGGTATTAGAATAAACATACAGAAAATTATCTATAAAAATTCTAAGATACACTTGCCTATGTTAGGCACTGATAAACTATACAGTGAATCCAGAAATGGTTTTCCACCTAGTCTGCCAGAATACGAAGTAATACCACGCACTCGACGTTGAACATCTGCGGCGAATTTAATAACATATATAAAGAGAATAATTACTAAAATAATACGTGAATAAAAACGAAGTAACAACCTTCTTGCGTACGTAGCAAAGATTGTCTTCCAGCTCCCAGGAGGGATATCGCTCCTGGTATGCATGGTGGTACTTCTTTTTCCAATACTGGACCAATTCTGGCACATATTTGTAACAAATGATTCGACCCAATGTGAGAATACTTCTTTTCCTAAAATATACAATTACAATTCGTATTATGTATTTAAAAATACGTGCATGATAGGAGGGAAATATGGTCTGCCACTGTGCAATCGATTTGCGCCAACAATTTAAAATTAAATGTAATCTAAAGTAGTTCCTATTCGCGGCCAATCAGAGTAGGGAGAAGTATCTGAGTAGCCCTCTCCTCGCGCACGGCAGCAGTTTCTATAAATAAGGATTGAGCGTGAGATCTATACATTGATCACTGCGCGCAGGCTGGCCGGAAGTGAACGCTGATTGGTCGGAGTCGGCTTGGTGGGGAGGTCTTGTGCAACAGCACGTACGATGACGGAGGAGTAGGTAGAAGGGTTGAGGAGTGGGACAGAAAAGGGGTAGCACCCTATTAGGGGTACTTCGTATATTGGCATTTGACCATTAGGTTGCGACGTAGCAGAACAATATTCATCGTAATGCCATCCCAAAAGCTACTCTCGTCTATTTTCACACAGGCAATTGACTGTTACACAGGGAACGAACGACCTGACTAGAATTCTGATCATACTTACCAATTCCTCGAAGGTTTGATTATGTACATGCCCTTCCCAGTCTAGCCTTTGCGGTAAAACCTAAGAAAAAGTGAAAAATGATAAAAATAAGTTGATCGACAGATCGATCATGCTCGTGAAAAAATCCGGGCGATTCGTCGAATATCAAGGTCGTCGACCTTGAAATTCTAATGTTTTGACAAGCAGAAACCACGTGCAAACCATGTGGAGCCGATGGGTATGTATAGTGTCACCCCGGCAAAACGTCAACTCAGTCCGATCGTCTTACCTTAGCTCGCTCCAATTCACGCTTCAACACCTACAACGTACAATTCACGTCACGATACGTTTCGAAACATTCGTACGGTCGTTTTAATTACGAGTGCACTTACTTCCGCGGCTTCGCGACAGGGTCCCACCGCTAAGAATTTGGCGATTAAAAAGTACAGCTCTGTAAGAAAGAACGCTGCTTAGGAACGAACCGCACGCCTCGCTCTGTTGCGGACGGTAAGGGGCGCTCATCGCACTCATTCTTTACCTGGTGATATTGCAGCCTCGTTCCTCGACGTGCCGCCCTCCATTTCACCCGATCAGTCGTTTGTTATTCACTCACAGGCAAAAAGAAACATTTGCTTTTTAGGGTCATAGCGCGGCAGTAACCATTTCGGATTTCATTTTCTCCTCGCGAGGTCTCGACCGCGAGACGCACACGCACGCTCACCTTCTCAACGGAAAGTAGTCCCCCCCTAGCCGATTGTCGACACAGCGTACCGTATTACTCAGGGGCGTACCGCACCTCCCGGGACCCTGTGGAACATCACCCCAATCGTATTATCCCGTGACTCATTTCAAACAAGAAACCACCGTGTTACTTCTGTAATAGTTAAACTAAAACCAAAATTCGACAACCCATTTTTAACTGACTATTACATCCTCTAATTGTCTGTAACAAGCGAGGATATTGCGATCGAGACTTCTACGAACGATGATATCTGAAGTACCCAAACGCGGCGCTTTTGAAAGTAAAAATGCAATGATCGAAAACCGCGTTTGTAAGAAACAGGAAAAAAGCAGAGATCCGTGTTTTAAAAGTGTCTTGAAGTAAAGCAAGTTATGGGACGAAGTACTGTATTAATTAGTATTGTTATATGTTAATACGTATTTTAACAATGTATCTTTGCTTTGATGAATTTGACAAAATAATAGAATATTTAATCCTGTACTTCGAATCATTCTAATAACTATTCTAAGATAAGTCGTACGCAGAGTTCGTGATGTATTTATTATTAAGAGAAAGATGTGATCATTTCTACTGTAGGCGATTTATGTTGTTCCTCCAACTTGAATCTCGTCCGATTGCAAGGCGCAAGTATAATTTGTCAATCCTTGTACTAAAATTTTACTAAGATAACATTTATTCGTTCGCATTGTGCGATATGATATCACAGAAATTTACATGGGGATATTATGTATCAGACCGTGCGACGTTCGTATGGTTTATAGAAAATACCGCAAAAGTACCGCCGATTCGTTCGTATACTTACTTACGATGGTCAGAAATCTGTATAAACAGCATTTTTTCACAAAAACTAAAACCTCAAGATGGATGCTACGTGGTAACTCGAAATGTCGATGTGTAAATGTGTATACATACGTGCCACACGCATACGTAGCTATAGATATGTAATATATATGTATACCACGTATGTAACTTTTGGTAATTCTCGAAAAATTGCCAACGGGCATAAACGTTCTATTAATATTTAGCTCGCATGAATAACGAGTACCATTGAACGCGTTGATATCATTTTTAAAAAATGATAAATATGGGCCTCGGAATTGTAACAAGGGTTATCTGCCGACGTGTCTGTAGTAGAATGATTTAAATAGAATTTATAATAAACCATTACATGTATTTTAAGGTAAATCATTTGATCTGATTACTAGAAAGGGATCAGCCGTTCGATTATCACAGTAACATAATAATTGCAGCAGTAAGAAACGATGTCATGGATAAGAGATAGTACCCTAAATTGCTTCCAACTTTTGGCAGTGAAGATCTTGAGAACTGGTCACATTCCTAAACATGTAGCATTCATAATGGATGGTAACAGGAGATATGCGAGTAAAAATGGGATGGAGAAAATAGGAGGACATACAAAAGGGTATGCGAAAGGAACGCATGTTTATATTTTATTTCAGAATCCTTTTATACATTCTTGTGTACGTTCAACTTACACGTCTGACTGACACGTGCTTTATATTAAATGTCATGAATGTTTTCAAGGTTTGATAAGTTTGCGGAAACTTTACAATGGTGTAGAGATCTTGGTATCCAAGAAGTTACATTTTATGCATTTAGCATTGAGAATTTTAAAAGGAAACAGGAGGAAGTCGATGGACTTTTAAATCTTGCCGAGGAGAAATTTGAAAAGTTGTTAAGTGAAAAGTATGTTGAAATCCATTTCTAATTAAAAACCAGTTTATCTATGAGACTTGTGACGAATATTGCTGTGCAGGGATAAGTTGAAAGAGCATGGATTATGTGTTCGTATAATAGGAAACTTTTCATTATTACCTAAAAGCATACAACAGTTGATGGCAGAAACAATGCTTTTTACAAAAGAGCACGATAAAGGATTCCTTAATATTGCATTTGCTTACACTTGTAAGTACATTTAAGTGAACACTGATCCATTAAATTTCCTCCTTCTCAATTCTACATGCAATATTCCAGCAAGGGACGAAATTACCCATGCCATTAAGAACGTAATCGAAGGTGTACGAAGTGGCGATATTCTTTCCGAAGATATAGACGAAAATCTAATTTCCAATTGCCTGCACACCAGCCGTTCGCCGAATCCTGATTTATTAATTCGCACTTCCGGCGAAGTTAGGATCAGCGATTTTCTCATGTGGCAAGTGAGTTCGACTATCAGGTTCATTAGCTTCGTTTCTATTCATGTCGTTGCTTATTGAATTTCAGATATCCGGCGCTTGCATTTATTTTACGAGTGTACTCTGGCCGGAATTTAATCTGTGGGATTTCCTGAACGCGATATTTTATTACCAAAGATGTTACTCGGATATGCAAAAGGTGACGAAAATCCAGAACACGAAACCAACGATACAAAACAATAGACAATCGACGTACATAGATAAATTGCATCAAGAGAAACACATTGCGCTTGAGAGAATGTATATTGATAAGTATTTATCGAGTACTTAAATCTGGCGAAGTTTGGTCATATCATTCCTTTTCGAACTATTAAAATATACATGGGACGTGGGGAGGGGGTTGGGAGGTGCGACGTTATTTTATTTTATTCTTGTAGAAAGGAATTTCCTCTAAAAATACATACGTCTTGTGTATAAAATGTTGAAACATTGTTTATTCCGGAGTTTACAAATGTCTGTCGTATTTACATATATATTTATAAAGCCTATTAATACGTTTATTAAGTACTTCTTCGATCTCTTTAAATATTCTACATATATAAATTACATTTAATACTCTTTCATCGATAAAATCTTTATCTTTAAAAACATTAGAAATTAAAATCTTGAACCAGCTGAAGGCAATCAAGTGGATTAGATCACGAGAATCTATTTAAAATAAACTGATCGAGCATATATAACTTTTTGCTAATCGTTATTTCGAGTTGTAAGGTGGATGGCGCCTAGCAGACGGCTGCCTTTGCCTCGCTAAAAATGATTGCCCCTGACCGGAACTCAACGTCGCGAGCCGTTGATCTATTGCTTCTCTGTGACAACTCAGTCCCAAGCGATAAAACGCAGACAACATTAACTTTTCCTCCGTGTCTTTAATCAGCTTCATCTCCTTTAAAGAACGTTCCATGTCCTCCATGATTTTACGCTGTTCCAAAATCTGATTCCGTAGAACAGCTACTTCGTTGGGAGATGCGCTATTCTGTTTCGGATCCAAACTCTTTATAACGCTCTTCGCTTTCTCGACATATTTTTTATAACGTTCCTCGAGCGCCGCGTTGTCATATTCCCGACGCGTTAATTTTTCTTGAAGAGCGAACGCCTTTTGCTTCTGAGCTTGGAGCGCGTTCTCCCTTTCTTCGATCTGTAAAATTAAACGTTCCTTCTCTGCTTGCACCTTTTTCAGTTCGTCCTGCAGCTGCGTTATCTTCTGTCCTAAATTAATATTATCAGATTTATTGTCTTCGCTTTGACTTCCCAACACCTCCTCCAGTCTATTTTCTAATTCGATTATCTTTTGATTAGCTTTGCGATTCTTTCCTTTAAGTATCTTTAATCTCTCCTCCGAGTCTTCTAGAAGCGCTTGGACCGTCGGCAATTTATCCTCGTTCCCTTTCTGTTTCAACTTTAGCATTTTATTTTCGTGTTGCAAACAGAGTAGCTTCTCCTTGAACTCAAGAGGTATCATTTCTGTATTCGCGACGGCGCTATCGGTGCTAGGCTGCGCTAAATTCTCAGTTGCTTGCAACTGAGTACATTTCAATTCGTCGTTTGTTTCTTTCAAAGCATCCCTTTCTACGAGCAATCTATCTCTCTCCCTTTGCAAAGTGCTCAGCCTCGCTTCCATTTTTTTCCCTTCAAATTCAAGTTTATCACATTTATTAGTTTGCTCATCTAACTTATGATGCGCCTCGGCAAGTTGCTGTTTACAGACTTCCAAATGATTGCGTAGCATCGCTGTCCGTTTCGATTCCTCTTCGTAATCTATCTTAGACTGTAAATACTCCAAATTCTTGTCCTCCAATATTTTAACTTGCCTCCTCAAATCGCTCAAGTCTTCCATCTTCTTCTTATAGGATTCTATTGTCTGCTCGTACTTCGTTACTTTGTCCGCAGTCTCTTTTAACGCATCTATTTCGTCTTTCAAATGGTTCGCATCATCCGCAGCTTTCTGTAAGTCTTCCTGCTTCGACTGCAGTTCCAACACTTCCTTCTCCAATAGTTCCACCTTCAGCCTGTATTCATCCCTAGATGTTTCCACCTTGAACAATTCATCCTTCAAAGCTTCCACTTGCTTTCTAAGTCCCGAATACTTTAAGATAGAGCCAGACTCCTCTGGATTCTCGAATTCATCCAATCTTTCCTGTAGCTTCTTATTCTCCGTCACCAACGCTGCTTTCTCCTCCTGTAGAAGTGAAAGCTGTTGATCGAGCTCATGACACTTCTGTGCTAATTGTTCCTTCATGTCGACAGTCGCCTGAAGCTCAGCCAACAGTCTCTGCTGAGTTCCATCGGCTACGTCCAAAGATTCGAAATTAAGACTAGTGCCCAGGCTCAATCTCGGCCCGTGCATATTGCTTTCTAATTCCTGAATACTTTGCATGATTGCTTGCTGTACAGTCTCCTCCATTCCCATGATTCTCGTTATGTACTGCTGCTTCTGATTACAATTAACTGCACATCCAAGAATTAACTGTAACAAACGGCGCAGTTCGTTATTGTCACAGTGTTCGCCTATTTTGGTCGCGTCAGGTTTAACATAAGTGGACAACGGTTGATTCAAGCATTCGATGTAATACTCCATCATAGCTTCGATGATCTTTTTAAGATTACTGACTTTCAACCTCCAGTTCGAGCTTACGTCGTGCTTGATCTTTGATCTCCAAGCAGCGGTAAACCATTCGGGTGCGATCTGAGCCAAGGCGTCTGCCAAAGCCACACCGTCGCTTATGTCCTCTGCTGTCGCATGAGGAATATCTAGATCGAACGTGTCGAGCCATTTGATTAAATTGTTCAATTGCTGATTTTCCATTCTCACTTTTAATTGGAATTGTTTCGAATCACGATCTGCTTGGAGTTTTTGCGGTATGCATATAAACACTTGTAGAACGGAGCGCCAATTCCATTAAGAAAACACTGGAACACAGCTTATAAGGAATATTTCGAGAACGATATCGAAATATTAATTTAATATCCCTTTAAAGAACAGAAATAAACATTTTTAATTGTTCTCCTTGTAGTAAAATTGCTTTGTGTGGGTTTATCGTAATGTGGAACGATGTTTGACGAATCTACTTTGATCCTTTCACTGATTTGTGATACGAGTTTATGAATTCTCGAAAATTATATGCCTGCGATTATTTTTGAGTTTTTGCAAAATATCGCACGATCCAATACCTCTCTCTCTGTACTCTGATTCTCCTGTACTGTACTCTCCTTATAGTCTCTACTCTCTCCCCTCTTCGGTCTCTTATGTATGTATCTGCTATCTCCCCCTCGATACTTCATGCGTAACGCGAACATTGCTAGTGTTTACGTGCGTATTTTTACAAGTAATGAAATGTACGAAAGTACATTTCGCGGAATTGTTCAACGCATTTAAATCCTTTTGATTTAATGAATTGAAGGGTGCGAGGAGGATTTGACTTGTCGATGCACGCGTCGATGCAATCATGACTACGAAAATGATAGATAATGTAATGAATGCACATGAAAAGGAGAATAGTCACCCACGTGCGAGATTTTATAAAAAGCCGATTAAAAGAGACAATTACAACTTGGACGTGGACAACATTGATACTTCTCAGGAAGTAAGGCGCAAACGATTATTACAGTTTCAAAAAAAGTATGTTTTCTATGCATATGCGTGTCTGACATTTCATAAACAAGATAGAACAATAACAGTGTAACAATTTCTAGATGCAGGGACACTGCATTCAACGATGCAAGAGGTATATTAAAAGAAGCATTTAATTCTGAGGATGAATGCGATGATGTTATGGAAGTCGATGAGATCGACAGGAAGAAGTACCATCCGTCGAGACGAAATAAGAATTACGCAAATCAGTTAATGATGTCTGAATGGATGTTAGAAGTACCTCAGGATCTTCTCGAGAAATGGACAATGGTCCCTTGTCCTCAAGGGAAACGGACTTTAATAGTAGCATGTAAGGTGCGTTAGAAACAAGAGACTTCAACGTCTTAAAAGCAAGAATTTTATTCCATTATAATTTGTCTCATACAGGGTGTAACTAAAGTATACAACAAACGAGGGTATTTGCTTGCTAAATTTCATTCGGCGTTGCCAGGTGGCAATTCGTTGGAGCACAGAGGCAGTTGTACCATTCTTGATTGTATATGGATTAAACAGGAAAAGATTTATTACATTCTGGACGTGCTCGCTTGGTCCAATCAGTCCCTGATGAATTGCGATGTAAGATTGTTTATCCTCAAGTAACTTAAGAATCTGTATGATGAGAAATTGATTTTTCTAGACCGAGTTTAGATTCTATTGGCTGAAAACGAAGTTACAAGAAATGGAAGAATTACAGGAGAGAAAGACGTATAGAAATCATTTTCCTATATTACATTTACCGAGTATCAACTGTAATACTAATATAAGTGCAGCATTAGCGGATCTTCCACACTTGTATCCTTTGGATGGCTTACTGTTTTATCATAAAGATGGGCAGTACACCAAAGGTCGTACACCGCTCGTAACGTGGTTGAAATCTTTCATGTTACCCGAAGTACTTAATATTCTCGTAATGCCACCACTCGACGAACAACCAGACGGATACGTCGATTATCTACATTACATTCTCCATAGTAAAGCGAAAAAAAAGATAGGTGAACCGAGAGAAGAAATTCAGGTATCTAATCGAATATCAGTTAGTTCTACCAGCTTTTCCTTATATAATTTATTTTTCTTATTCGTAGATGGAGGTCGTAGATGAGAAATCGTAAGATTTTATTTATATGAACGAGCTTCGTAACAGAAGGGATTCGTAATTAATTTCTCACGGACTATATAAAAATATTTTATCGATAAAACGTATGTGTTGTACAGAGTAATACATAATTTGACTTCTGATAATAATAAGTCTGTGATATAAAAGTAGAAATACATACATACAAGGTACGAGTCTACTACTGATTATAAATAAAGGACCCCGTCTTGCAGGTCATTTATTTATAATAGTACATTTACAGGATGCATTATATTAGTAATTATCGTTAAAAAAACTTAGATTATAATACAAAAGCTAAATATCAATGTTCATTGCGTGGAGCGTATCGAAGGCTTTATCGTTCATGTACAACAGAATACGATTCATAGTACCTGGTTTCACCGATTTCATCTGAAAATAAAAACAAATGAGATGAAACAAGGATGACAATGGGATTTTGAAATACAGTTTTATTACCTTGTTTCCCACCAGTGTAACTCCGGGAAGAGTAATTTTATGCAATGTACACAATCCCAATTGCAACCTAGCACATCCTAGCATTTCGGTGTACAAAACTTCGCGAAACTTTTCTATGTGATCTAAAGTAAACGTAACTCCGGTAGCCGTTACATTTTTATTCAGATCTACAATTCTGAAAGAAATGCACCGCATAGATGTAGAGACAGTTGAGTACGAATTAAACTGTTTGATAATTAAATGCTTACACTTTTAATATTTTTATTACATCCTCAATTTTGAATTTTATTACGATGCTATCTCTATCTGCCAGTTCCGGTATTCTGTATTCCATCTGAAGCTCGTCTGTACTCTTTGGATATAGTTCGTGAGTCGGATAAATGATGATCGGTACAAGCCACATTAAATCGTCCTCTCCAATTGGCAACGCGGTGATCAAGCAATCAAACATATGTTTCAGCACTTTATGAACAATTCCCATAGCACCTCTCGTACCACGACATAGCAAAAGAGGCAATCTTACAGCGTTACGTATTCCTAATTTCTGACTACTGTTCTTACAAGATAACAATATTCCTTTATAAATGCATTTGCCTGGGCCTTCCGTGGTCCCGTTAGTTTTACTGTAAACTTCGATCTACAATCATAAATAAAAGTTCAGTGGAATTGTTTAATAAAACATGAATCGTCGACAAAACCTTTATTGGTGGTGAATCCAATGAGTCTGATGTCTTATTTTTCATAACAGAGACTTCTGCATTATATACGACATTCTCCTGTGCCAAGCTGTTAGCAACCTCTTCTCTCAATCGCTTCGCATACTGTTTTAAGTGCACTCGATCTTGGTGGAAGTTAAATAAAACAGATACAGCAGAAACAGTCCAAAGTACATGTAATAATTCTATAAAAAGAAGGAACAGCTTGAAGTCAAAAAAGGTAAATACTTTCAGTTTAATGTAATGATTTAATTAAGATACCATCTAATGAGTCGTCGGGTTCTCCTGTGAGAGGATGATCAACATTTAAACTAAAACTTTGGCATCCTTTCCGAGGCGTGGATGATGTGTGCACTGCACCACTAGTAGATGGCTGCATACTTTCTACAGTATTTGTCATTTTAAAAAGTAACGTAATTAAATAAACTAAAAAAGACAAGTAGTACTGTGCTCGTACTGTCAATGATTCATTCGCGTACGTGTTTACATTCTGTATAATATACAGTGTATATTTCAAACCATTTAGAAGCTAACTTCAGCTGACTCGATGTGTTCAATGTTCAGCACTTGCTGAGGAGGAAACTTCACGGTACAAATAAGTGATTTGCACACTAAAGAGTAGGGAGTTTTGAATATAGCCTTCAAGATATATAATTTCTGTTACGTTCTCAACGATCTAATTAATTCATGAAGTCTTGTAATTAGACGAAATCAATTTATTCCTAAAACCCGACAAACGGAGTTGTGCCATAAGCCAAGTACAGATACGCATTTCACGTGTGCATGTAGTGTGTATGTGTATACATATTTAATTCGTGTATGCGTCGTTGATATCGAGAAAGTGAACATCAGTGTGTTTATGTCATCTCCCGCGCAAAAACGCTGAGCTCGTAAGCGTAACGACACTGGCTATTTAATTTTTATAAACAGCAATTGAGATCCCACTGGGCTGGATGTACGCCATTAAAAAGTTATGGGCACAATAGAGATCGTATTCCCTTCTGGCGTTCCACCGGGGAAAATATTGAAATGGAGAGTACGGTTGAACACGATGGTTTCAGCGGGCAGAGCATTGTTCTCTTATCAGAATGCGGCCCCTGGAACAGAGGATGATAATAAAGGGTCGGAGAAAAATTTCCGAGCCGCACGATTCGGTCGTGTTACAAAATTTCTGGTCAAGGAAGGAGATGTTGTACAACCGGGGTATATATATACACATATATATTGTTCACCTCGTGCATTGATCAAGCAATTTTAATATCTTCATTAAATATTATTTATATACACTTCCATTTCCTAATTAATATAATGAATTCGTAGGCAAGTGATAATGACGTTAGAAGGATGTAAGCATCCAACAGTCATGAAGGACCTGTGCGCCGAATGTGGTGCAGATTTAAGAGTCGAGGGTATTGGTAAAGAGAATGAAAGTGAAGTAATATCGCAAGCTAGTGTACCGATGGTACACAGTGTGCCAGAGTTGAAAGTCTGTCCAGAATTGGCTGAGAAAATTGGTAAGGAAGACGAGCAACGTCTCCTTAACGATCGCAAGTTAGCATTGCTCGTAGATCTCGATCAGACGATTGTTCATACGACGAATGATAACATCCCTCCTAACATGAAGGTAGACTGAATTATAATAATATCGTTTACATATATTTCATTATATGTATATTTGTAGGATGTGTATCATTATCAGCTTTATGGACCGAATTCTCCTTGGTATCATACTCGGTTAAGGCCTAACACTAGACACTTCCTCTTCGAGATGAGTCGTTTATACGAATTGCATATTTGTACATTTGGGGCGAGGAATTATGCACATACCGTAGCGGCGTTGTTAGATAAAGACGGGACTTTCTTCTCACATAGAATACTCTCGAGGGACGAGTGCTTCGATCCAGCATCGAAGACAGCCAACCTTAAGTAAGATCCGAATAAAGATTTCAAGTATTTTAATACATCTGACGAAACTTTTCGTAGGGCCTTGTTCCCTTGTGGAGACGATTTAGTATGCATTATAGATGATAGAGAGGACGTCTGGCAAGGATGTGGGAATCTAGTTCAAGTCAAGGCTTATCACTTCTTCCGTCACACTGGCGATATACATGCACCTCCGGGATTAGAAAAAAGCGATATGCGATGTTTACCTGATTTGCTGAACACAAACGATGAAGCTGCAAATGAATTGACTAAAAATGGTGCGCCCGAGCAAGCGAACGAAGACTCTGACTTAAAGAAAGGGGCAACTGAAAATGAGGAAAGTGTATATAAATCTGTGAACGATAAGGACGATGTTAAAACGACTGGTTTAAGTCCTGTCTCCGAGAACGATTGTAAAAACGACGAAACAGTAGATGTCGAGAAACAATCGAAAGAGACGTTGAAACAGTCGGAGGAAACAGGGAAACAAACAGAGGAGACGAGAGACAATGTAATAGCAACTGAGACAGTAGAAGATGTTAAAAGTGGAGATATGAATTCTGATGAAAATAATGTTATAGACGAAGATGACGACGATTATTTATTATATTTAGAAGATATTCTCCGAAGAATTCACACTGAATTTTATGGTACTATAGATAGAGGAGAAGAACGTAAGCCATTAAGAGAGATTATTCCACGGGTCCGGTCTCAAGTTTTAAAAGGAGTACATTTAACTTTTAGTGGATTGATTCCTACTCATCAGAAACTTAATCAGAGCCGAACGTACAAAGTTGCTAGGGCATTCGGAGCTGAAGTGGCACAAGTAATATATCAATCCGTTCTCGATCGTTTCCTATTACCTCCGTTCTAACAAACTGTTGTGTTTAGGATTTATCCGATAAGACTACTCATTTAGTTGCTATCAAACCTGGCACGGCTAAGGCCAACGCGGCGAAGAAGAATCCTAATATAAAAATCGTAAACCCGGATTGGCTGTGGACTTGCGCGGAGCGTTGGGAACACGTGGACGAACGGTTGTTTCCACTTACCGCAAAGGTATAGGCAATACGAAAGTAATACGTCGTGGATTTTACGAACAGCGAACGAAATTCGAATTTTAATGATTTAGGTCGCATTGTGAACGGTTATTCATTTTTAGGCTCGCGCCTCTAGAATTCCGCCTCCGCATTGTAGTAGCCCAGAACGTGTAGAGGAACCGGAAAAGAATACAGTAGATAATTTTGCAGATAGCATCAATCCGTTGATGTCGTTTACACCGGAAGAGATAGAAATTATGGATAAAGAAGTTGAGGAGGATATGGACGATCAAGAATTCGAACCGCCTGTCTTCGACACGGACGATGCGGACGACGAAGAATTCGATAAAATAGTTCGCAGCAGGGATTCTGATTCCGATTACTCGAATCATGAACGTACGTATAGTTCGTACATTTGAACGAGTGACAATACGATTGAATTTATTTTTAAGTCTGCCTGCATTATAATTTCATCTTTCAGTAGAATGTGATACACACGAACCGATAAGGAAAAGGAAGAAACTTTGTAATGAAAGTTCCGAGGATGACGGTTCGTCGAGCGAAAACAACGACACTTTAGAGGACGACGATGACGACGATCCTGTAACGCGTTTTCGAAGAGGAGAAAACTTACCTGATGATTTAGATTTAGGCGATAATTCACAAGATTCGGTGGAAGACCTTGAAATAATGGACAACGAGGATGAACGTGAATGGAACGAAATGGGAGCGGCGCTCGAAAGGGAATTCCTTTCCGAATGATGCAGTGAATGAGATCCTCTGTATTGATTGCACGAATCGGTCGAATGAACATTGTTTGTACATTTTCGATTTACCTTTAGTAATTATTAATATTTAAACCATACGTGTTTGTAGAATTTCCATCTATATAGTTTAACGAGAATAGATAGGGATACTGATGAGATCATGCACAAGTTCAATTG